GTGGCACGTGGCACTGTGATGATACAGCCAGTTCGTTGATTCCTTCTTGCTAGGAGCACACACTTCTATTGACCGCTTTACAGTGCTGCGGCGGATTCGCGGTGATTTCGCGCCGGATCCGTAGATACCTGCGCACGCAAGAGAGAATGCAGTCAGCGGAATGCTGCGTTGCCGCCAATCAAGCTGCCAAGTGAAGGGTTCCGCGATGAGCCCAGTTTATATAGCTTCCAGAAGAAGCTTCTGTTGAAGATGGACAGGTGGCGATGGTCGCAGGTGGCACGTGGCACTGTGATGATACAGCCAGTTCGTTGATTCCTTCGTGCTAGGAGCACACACTTCTATTGACGGCTTTACAGTGCTGCGGTGGATTCACGGTGATTTCGCGCAGGATCCGTAGATACCTGCGCACGCAAGAGAGAATGCAGTCAGCGGAATGCTGCGTTGCCGCCAACCAAGCTGCCAAGTGAAGGGTTCCGCGATGAGCTCAGTTTATATAGCTTCCAGCTTATATAGCTTTATATAACCGGTCGGCACGGAATCCAGCCAGCGAATCCTATCAGAACGACTGAAGCAACACACCAACGATGTTCGGGTGTTCTACAAAGAGCGCAGCGCAGTCGCCGAACATTCTGATACGTTAGATCGCCAGATAAATTTTGAAGCGACGGCCATCCTTGAAAGCGAGCCGAACTGGAGGAGAAGGTTGTTACTCGAGTCCTGACACATGCAGAGGGCAGCCCATAACATCAACCGCTCTCTCGGTACCCTTCCCCCAGTGTATACACACGGACTGCGCTCCACTGCAAAAAACGAGAGAGAGAGAGAGAGAGAGAGAGAGGTCATTAGCCACCCCGCGGGTGCTTTGAAGACGCCGCTGCTACGTAGCCTCCGCAGTGACCCCTGAGGAAAGAACCAAATCGGTTCCGAAACGTCGGGTTTCTACAAAACTTTTGGTTGGAGTCTAAATCATCTCCCACACATAATGATTACAGCATGTAAACAAAAATATGGCACGTGGCAAACATGTTCAAAAAGTGAATAGGCTCTGCAAATTGATATATAAGTGCAGTTTAACTTCTCGAAACCACCATGTGATTATGAGAGTCGCCGTAGTGGAGGGCTCGAGAAATTTCGACCACAAGGGAATCTTTACTCGCCACTAGACCACCGCGGTGGGGCATGTTGCTCTACAAGTTAGGCAGTTTTTGGATGAGGGACAATTCTAGACGCCTAAGACACCACAAGCAAAACAAACAAGCACAGGGTGTGCTTTTTCATTCTTGTCGTGTTTTAGGCATCTAGAATTTTCCCTTAAATGATGTGCCAACTAGACTACTAACAAGTATTTCCTAGTTTTCGGATGATTTTGGTTTTTGTTAGCTCGCATCGTTAAAGCCTATGGCAGTGCACACCAGGTTACAGAATGAACATGTACTCAAAGGGACGACACACAGGGTGTCTACCAACCTGAAAAAGTCGGGGAATTTGGACTCTTCTGGAAAAGTCAGGGAAAGAAACCTGGCCAGGTCGTGCAAATAGACAGCAGTTCTGTGCGACTGTGACAAAAATAAGCATTACCATTGATCAAACCTTAAAAAGTCTCTCTCTCAGCTGCAACTACAGTGAGCTGCTAGAAGGTGTGCAAAAAAAAAAAAGCCGCCCGCATCTTCCCACAGGGGAACTTGAGTAAATGTGTCGCAGAGTGGTGGGGATATCTCGTGAATGTTGCGTAATTGGGTAGGGTTTGGGACTCACCAGGTAGCGTTTATTTCGGGTAGGCGTGCGGGTCAAGGCAGGTAACAATAACCGTAAGTCACGCTCATCGACGGTACCTGCCCACGAACCAACGAGTCCTTACACGATGTGCACACCAAGTACGACTTGAACAGCTTCAGCAGTCTTTCGTCGTCATCTTTGTCGCTGTTAACGTTCTCTTTGACGACGACGCCCTTCAAGTCGACGTTGCCAGACGTGCTCCAAAGAACCTAAAGCGTGTTGGTCTGCTTCGCTTTGTTCGTGAAGCTCCCGACCAGCGTAAGGTCATTGTCGAAGTGCAGTCGGTCGCACATCTTACAGCTGTGTCCCTTCGAAGTCGCGTTTGAAACGAGCGACCGGCTGCACAAACTGCTTGGCTCGTCCCGCCCCTTTCGCAGCAAGCTCGCGTTCACGAGCAGCTTCCAGAGCCGCCTCTCGTTGACGACCTTTGCACGCCGCTTCTCGATCACGTACCTTTGGTCTTCAGCTCACGCAGCTCGCTGCTCATGTGTCACAGAACGAGCGCTAAAAACGGGCGCGCCGCCAAATGCTTGCGATAACGCGCCCAGAGAGACGCGGCGAGGTCAACGAAAAAAAAAAAGAAAAGAGAAAACAAGCATCCAAGGCTCCCCGGGCGCGCGACGCCTCTCCTCTCGGAAGCGTGGCTTCGCCGATGAACCTCCTCACCCCACAGCGGCGGCCGGGCAAGCACTGGAACGTTCCAGAAGGAAATGGGCGTGTATGCCGGGTTGACTCATCTGTCGGGGACGACCCCCGTACAGTCTCGCGCCTCTCCCCAGCCTTCGCTGCGTATCGCGCCGACGAAATGACAAGAACTTTCTAGAATGTGGCGCGGAAGGTATTTAATCGAGTGGCCGAGACGAGAGATCAGGAGGAGACGGAAGTTGCGCCAGAGTGCGAAGGGATCCCGCCGTGTAGTCGGCGAAGGTTTGTCCGTAGGGACGAAGCAGGAGATGAAGAGGATTTCCACCTGAGGGGTGAAGGCCCGAGCTACAGGCAAGAGAGTGTGTTTACCGCTATCGAGCGAAGACGCGTGGCGACAGGTGCGTGTGTGAAGCCGACGTGTTCGGGCGAAGAAGTGATAAGCTTGGAGAGTGGCCAATTGAAGGCGCGAGGTTTTCTGGAAGAGAAACTTCGAGGGCGCGGAACGACAACAACGCTGGACTTTGAGTGAGTGATTCTCGGAAGAGTATCATTCAGACTTTTGTTCCAAGGACTTTGGACTGAATAGGTTTTATATCTCTTTAGTCTTTAAGTGTCTTGGTTGTTCAATGCATGCGACTGCATTGTAGTGCGTATTGTTGTCTGTGTCCGTTGTTTCAAGCGTGGCTGATTGTACTGTGTAGTACGATGTTTGATTGGTGACGTATTGTATGTAACTATTGTGGAGTGTGCATACGTGTGTATTGTTTTTGATCTGCCGTTAATGAGAATATAATTTTGTTTGTTTATCAACTCTCGGCTCTGACTTGTTCTTTGGACCACAGCCGGCGTCCGCTGGCGCGCCAAAAAGGACCACTTCTAAATTGTCCACGCTTTCGTGGTGCGGTTCGGGGGGCCGATACTTCGACCCTTGGAATTAGCCCGGCGATCGCCTCCCTATTTAACGGGACTTGTGTGACATCATGCTTTGTCGCTGCTTCGCGCACACAATGTTCGGAATCCGCAGCTCAGCGCTGCCGTTTCGTAGCTGCTTCTCGTGCATAAAGTTCTGCATCCGCAGCTCGGCATTGCCGTCTTGCAGCTGCTCCTTGTTCCACGAATGAAGGATCTGCAGCTCGCTTCAAACGCTTGCGTTCAGCGTCGTATGCTTGTCTCTTCGCCGCTTTGTCTTCTGCATGGCTTACTATTGTTGACGGTGAGGGTGGGTGACATTGCCTTGAACGAGTGGTGAAAAGATGATGTTGGGTTGTGCCCCAGTACTGGTTGAAAGCGCTGTTGTCATCTGTTGCTTGCATCGCATCTACTCGAGTCAAGCAAAGCGTGAAGTCAAGCGAAAGAGGGGGATTAAAGGGGAGAGAGGGAGGTGGAGGGGAGACGAGCTGAGCATGTGCAGTGGGGGTGTGAACGCTGACGATGAGTGACACGGTGAGACTAAGAAATGCTCCGCATTAAAAAAAAGACAGTGCATAACTCCTGCTTCCGAGTGTAAATGCAAAAGGATACACTGACCCATAGAACACAAAGTTTACTGACGTTTCAGTGCACGATATGGGAGGGAACCTTGTTCACAATAAAAGCCATAAGAAATGTACAGCGTACTTAAATACGCCTAGATACGTGACATAAGCAGCGAGAGTACATTGTCAGAAGCATGTCATTACTCCTGACCAGCGTATGTACGTCGTCTGTATCTGGATTCGAGGTGCAGGCATGATGTAAGCTTCTTTATAATGCGGAGCATATTGTTACGTCTGTTACCACATGTGGTAACACATGTGGTAACAATTACACTTGTGGTAACACATGTGTATTTACACATGTGGTAACAATATTATAGTCTAACCTACTCGTAAATCGGGCGGCGGTGTCTACACCCTTACTGCGCATGCTCGCGACTCGTGCCAACTGTCGCTCTCCCCCACGGAGGAAGGAAAAGTACCTTTCCTTCCTACGTGCTCTCCCCACTCTCCCACCTCGCAAGGCCGTCACAGGCAGCGTCTGCTAGTAAAAATTGACTGCTCGCGCAGCACAACCGTTCACTGACCACTCCGATATGTAGGCACTGGATTCAGCGTTCGTAACTCAGTCAAGGCTGTCTTTACTTGGATTTCACTTGACTTGATGCTTCGCTTGACTCGAGTAGTCACGATGGAAGCAACGGTACCTTCAACCAGTAGTGGGCACAACCAAACAGTGTCCCAGCACTCGTTGAAGGCAACGCTTCTCTTTGATTCAATAATCAAAGGCACGGCATCGCATCAAAAATGGGGCGTTCATCGATGCTCTTGTTACTGGTGACGCTACATCTTGCCTTCAGTTCCTGTCCTTTCGTATCCTGGCCGGCCGTTTTCACTGAACGCCAGCTTTGCCGTCATCAGACATGCTTCGGCCCGCCAGGTTTAGAAGAAAAAGAGCACATAATCTGGCAACAAGCGACGTCTTCATCTGCCATCTGCGCACTGACGAGCCTATATAAACGCACACCGAACCGCTCTTCACTTCGGCACGGCATCGCATCAAACATGGGGCGTTCACCGATGCTCTTGTTACAGGTGACGCTACATCTTGCCTTCTGTTCCTGTCCTTTCGTATCCTGGCTGGCCGTTTCCACGGAACGCCAGCTTTGCCGTCATCAGACATGCTTCGGCCCGCCAGGTTTGGAAGAAAAAGAGCACATAATCTGGCAACAAGCGACGTCTTCATCTGCCATCTGCGCACCGACGAGCCTATATGAACGCCCACCGGACCGCTCTTCACTTGGGCACGGCATCGCATCAAAAATGGGGCGTTCACCGATGCTCTTGTTACAGGTCAGTTACCTGAATAGTAGCGCTGGTGTTAAAACCAGCAATTACTGTCTGCTAGCGGTGTCGTGCCCCCCTGATTTATGTGAAACAGTGAAGCGATACCTGTCTGTGCCGTCGCGAATTTGTGACAGTGTCATTAACCTGCTGCTACTCTGTTCGGGGGACGTTGAGCTAAACCCGGGACCCAATGATAAGATTCTAGCGGACATCCTGGAAACCGTGCGTGGGCTGAAAGCGGGACAGGCGACAATATTGACTGAGCTCAAAGGAGTTAAGGAAAAGCAGGCCGAAACTGACGCTCAAATTAAACAACTGAATGGTAGAGTTGCATCCTTGGAAGCGTCTATTGCATCCCGCAGTCCGGGTGAAATCAGCCTGCCCGAGAATAGCTTACAGTGTGTAAATGACCAACTGCAGCACATTACATCCCGATGCGAAAGTGCAGAAAATAGGATGCGCCGCTTGAATTTTCTGTTTTTCGGTATCGAAGATGACGTTAATGAAGATTGGGAAGCTTCAGAGAAAAAAAACTAATTGAATTTTGCGAAGAAAATCTTCAAATAACCCTTACAAGCCAGCAGTTTGAACGCGTCCACCGCCTTGGCCGGTTTTCTCCAGATAAGTGCCGACCAATAATTGCTAAATTCGTTCTGTTTAAAGACAAACAAATCGTACAAGCATTATCAAGAAAACTTAAAGGTACAGACTATTCTATTAGTCAGGATTGCTCTGTTGCAACCCGCGGAAAAAGTTGATCGAGTTTGCGAAACCAAGCAAGCATACATTTAAACTGCGAGTAGACAGGTTAGAAATGAATGGCAAGACGTACGTTGATGACAGCTCTACAAAATCGGTTGTTCTTTCTCAAAGGTAGCTAAATAAGAAAGCAGGCAAAAATAAACTTTTTAAGCAACAATGGTCACGTTTCTCGACCTTGGTACGACCACTAACAGTGACGTTGACTAACATCCGTAGCCTGCTGCCGAAACGTGAAAATATCTCTTCGATCTTGGACGATAGCAATACGGACATTGCTGTCTTAACTGAGACATGGCTTCACCCAAATATTCTCGATGCAGAACTCTTTTCGGGCGTGAATATTTTCAGTATTTATCGGTGTGACTGTTCTGAACGAAAGGGGGGTGGTGTTTTGATCGCGATAAAGAATACACTGTCGTCGTTTCTGATTGATACTCACACACCCCTCGAAATAGTTTGGGCTGCCTGCTTTTTCCGCTTCATCAAAAATTCTGATAGGCACTTGCTACCGGCCACCCGACGCAGGTCCTTCCTTTAGCGATGAACTCAGAAAGAGTATAGCGGCCGCTGTGCAAAGCTATCAGTGTGAAAACGTTTACCTCCTCGGCGACTTTAACTTTCCCGATGTTGATTGGCCGTCTCTCTCTTCACCTAGTCGTGCTTCTGTAGAATTTATAAATTTAACTCTGGATTTTAACTTCTTCCAAACTGTTGACGCACCTACACGTGGATCTAATTTATTAGATCTAATTTTAAGTAATGCGCCTGAAACTATCGGGCCAATCACTTATCGGGACGGTCTAAGTGACTACAAGTTACTCCATTTTCCTATAGAAGTGCCATTTAGCCACACAGGCAAAGATAAGAAAATTATACGAGATCATAACAAGGCCGATTACGCAGCAATTAACTCAGACCTTGAAGTATTTCTTGTTGAAGGGATGATGCCCTTGTTCGATACTCGCACCGTCAACGAAAACTGGTGTATCTTCCGGGACGAAGTTTGTGGGCTGGTCGATAAGTTTGTTCCCATAGTTACCATAACGAATGACAGGTCGAACCCGTGGTTCACTAAGTCACTCCGTCGGCTCAGAAACAAAAAAAAGCGGTTGTACAAAAACGCCAAAAATGGACAAACTGAAGCTGCATGGAAAAAGTGCGACGAGTGTGCGGCGAGCTACTGCTCTGCAATTAAGGATGCGAAAGACAAATATTTTTCCCATGATCTCCTGTCTCTTATGAAATCAAACCCTTGGAAGTTTTGGCAGTCGTTAACCCCAGGAACCGACCGCCAGCAGATCTCGTTACGTGGTGATGACGACAAACCCGTCTCAGATAGTGACTGTTCATTCGCATTTAACAGGTTCTTTTCTTCGGTATACACAAGAGAAGACCATTCCGACATACCATTCATCGCAGATTACGACTGGGCATTTATGCAGCCAATAGCTCTTACAGTCGAAGGTATTGCTTCCCTCATTGACCAACTTAAACTATCTACTTCATCGGGGCCCGACAACATTAACACAAAAATACTAAAGAACACAAAAATCGTATCGAGCGAATTCTTACTTCTCATCTTTCAACAGTCCTTGATGTCTGGTCACCTTCCAGATGATTGGCACATGGGTAAAGTGGTTACCATTTATAAAAGTGGAGGTAAACACTCACCTGATAATTATAGACCCATATCGCTTACGTTAATCTGCTGCAAATTGCTGGAGCATATTATCGCTTCCCATGTTCGCCGCCACCTCGAATCAAGTAATTTCTTTTTTCCTCACCAGCATGGTTTTCGAAAAGGCTTCTCGTGTGACACCCAATTGTTTGAACTAACAACCGATCTCTATTTCAATATGAATGAAAATAAACAAACTGATTGCGTATTCATCGATTTTTCGAAGGCCTTTGAGCGCGTTGCCCATTGCCGCCAAATATCTAAATTATCTGCACTTACACTCGATTCCTTAACCCTTTAGTGGATCCGCAATTTTCTTTCCCTTCGAAAACAATTCACTACGATTTATAACTACGCCTCTACTCTCCCTGATGTCATCTCGGGTGTTCCACAGGGTAGTGTTCTCGGACCTCTATTATTTCTCATCTACATAAATGATTTGCCAAATAATATATCTTCCAATATAAGACTATTCGCTGACGATTGCATAATATATCGAGCTATTAACAATGATGGCGACCACCTTACCCTTCAAACAGACCTTAACCTAATTAGTGACTGGTGTGACGTGTGGCAGATGTCTCTTAACTCTTCCAAGTGCCGTGCTATGACCTTCAGTTGTAAACACAAAAACTCCAATTATTACTACTCCATTAAAAATGATACAATAGTGCAGTGCTCTTATTACAAATACTTAGGCGTCAATCTAACACCCAATCTCTCATGGTCGGCACACATTACTGTTATTTGCGCGAAAGCCTCAAAAACATTAGGTTATCTCCGTCGTAATCTGCGAAAGTCTCCAACAAGCATCCGTAAACTGGCCTATTTCACTTATGTACGCCCCCAGCTGGACTTTGCATTTTCAGTCTGGTCCCCTTTCCAAGATTACCTAACCACAATGCTAGAGTCCATACAAAACAGAGCTGCCCGGTTTATATCTCGCAATTATAGCACTCACTGCAGCGTAACAACATTAAAACAAAAACGTTCTATTTCACCATTGCACGTTCGTCGCTCTGTTGCACTGTTATGTTTGCTGCATAAATATATTCACAGCACAAGACGTTCTACGCTACCCCTAACAGCACCATTGCGCATGTCCAGACGACTGCACAATTACCTTAGTTTCACTCGCATTTACGGCAAAACGAAGGCATTCAACTTATCAGCGCTTCCTAAGGCCATATCATTATGGAACGATCTTCCCGACTGCATTGCCTCCATCACCGATTCAGATTCTTTTCGCGAACATGTGTGTAATCATTTTTCATCGCACTAATCGCTCTAACTTCACTGATGTTTGTAGCTGCCGCTGTGCCACTCGCCTAGTTTCACACTTCTCTTTGGTTCTCTTTAGTTTTTGCTGTACGCACCGTTGTCTTGCAATTTATATTGGTAAACGCCTTCGTACGGCTAGCAGTATGTGTGTTTGGAAAATGCGTGTGTATGTTGTACACCTCGGCCTTCCGATTTCTCTTTGATTTTTTTGTTATTGCCATTGTTCTCTCAGTTCTTGTTATTCTCCCAGTTTTTGTTGCTCAGTTGCACCGCCGTTGCTGCTCACTTGAATTCTATACATACGCCTTCCGAATTTCTTTATTGTGTTTCGTTCATGTACCTTGAATTTCTTGTTATTCAAGCTTTCTGCATATCGGTAAACATTCGCGTATTACATTTGTTTGAGTGTCAGTGACTAGACACGCTTTGTCACGATGTTGTGTTATTTTCTGTGTATTCCATGTTATTGATGACCGCCCTATTACTCTTTGAAGTTTGTACCCCCCTTACTCAATGCTCTCATTGGGCTTGTAAGGTATCACAAATAAATAAATAAATAAATAAATAAATAAATAAATAAATAAATAAATAATGGATAATAAAGATGAAATTACAATTAAACATTCCCAAACCTTACCTAATTACGCAACAATCACGCGTTACCCCCACCATTTTGTGACGCATTTACTCGAGTCCTCCTCCCTCGTGAGAAGATGCAAGTTTTTTCTTTGTCCAGAACACACGAGTATTACAAATCTATTTGGTGGTCTGTAGATTCCGCATGTTCAGAGAGGGCAGTCGAGGCCACAAGTCGTTTCGTGGCGTCATATGTGTGTTGTTTAAACTTTTTTCATGAAATCACTAGTTTCAACAATGTACTGGTTGTGACAATTGTGGCACCCTAGTGCATAAACAAGACTAAGAAAATTCTGCTCGACAACTTGTCTTTCACATAAGATAAACTTTAGCTTCCATGTTGGTACATCCACTCCTTTGATGTCTTGCTTCTGACTATGTTTTTATTTATTTATTTATCGATAGGATTGAGCGTCTGAAATTCCTCTTCCAGTTAATTCATAATCAATTTAAACTAAACTATTCAGATTACTTCCAGGTCAACACACAAGAACACTCCAGACATCGCCATAATATGTATATACCACCCCTAGTCCCACGTAACGATTGCTTTAAGTTCAGTTACTTCCACGTGCTATTGAAGATTGGAATATGGCTGCCAGAGTCTATAATTGGTTGTTCCTCGCTTACATCATTTGAACTGAATCTA